GCCCTGGCTGGCCAGAGAAACCTAAAGTCTTTGGATAGTTATTCAGAAGCGTCAACAGAGCAACAGCACGTTATGTCTTCCAAATTAAGTGAGCACATCGAAGGAAGAAAACTAACGAAAGATTCGGCCTTGAGTCCTAAAGTACCGCTTCAACTTTCCAGTACTCTGACATCCAATCCATTTGAGCATGCAGAACAGCCAGAATCCAATCAAAGCATGTTTTATGGAGCTGTTTTCAATAACTGTTCTATCAACTTTGGTAGAGATCATCATGCTTTGGCGGTTGAACCATCCCCCAGTTTTAAGAAGAAATTCAAGAGAATTGATCCATTAAACAGCGACGATGAGCTATGAGAACTAGTGAACTCACTAAGCTTTTTGTTTTTTGCTGGAATTCGTCTTCATGATTCTAACTTTTCAAAACTTTTGATTGTTAGTAAACTCATTTTGAATCGATGCGAAGTGTGATTTTACGAAGATCATATCTAGTTTGACGAGTTTCATGTCAGTTGTCATGTAATTTGCCTATTGACCAATAAGATTAAAGGCACTTAATGGGTTTCCTTGTGTTTACGTTTTTTCTGAGATAGCGTGCGGACCTTGAAAACTCAAAAAATACTGATGAACTCGCTCAAAAAGGGACAAATACATATTAATTTTCAATGTCGTATAATAAATAACTTATTTGGGTTTTTCCCGTAATACGGGCTGATATTTTACTCATTACTCGTATTTTTCCTCGTCCCTACGGGACTCGGAAAAGTACATTCGCAACTCGTAAAATATCAGCCCGTATTACGGGAAAAAACCCAAATAAGATATAAGTATTAATTTTATTTATAATATAACTAAATTATTACGCGCGCTCTGATTGGCCAAAAACCACTGAACTATTTCCCCATGGGCTGCACGCTCGCTTTTTTCTCTATAAATTTTCAAACCCGATGGTGTCAATAGCGTGCGCACGAGCGAGATGGGTGATATAACGCGCGCTCTCATTGGCTGAAATGCCTATGAACTATTTGCCCATGGGTCGCACGGTAGATTTTTGGTCATATTATAAATCAGTTAGAAGACAAAAAAGCGCTCGCCCATGGCGATATAGACGCACTTGAGAAAATATAAAGAACTCTTAACAAGCTAGAGTGTCACTCGCATTCGCCTGGTGCCACTCTTTCGCTTGTTAATCGTTCTTTATTTTTTCTCGCGCGCTTTTATGTCGTCTAACTGATAAATCAAAGCTCAAACGTGAGATCAACAAGAATCATGGGATAAAATATCACATAATTGTGTATGCCATTTGTTGTGGAATGTAAGTGCGTGATTTTACGTTAAGTTAATTAATTTCTTCCCTAATTTGCTGAGTGGCAAGTAGCCTCTTTTCAAGAGCTTTTTTTCGAGTTCTACAGTTTTCCAATTTTCGCTAAATTACAATTCGATCTGTGAGTTATCCGAGCTCTGACTTAGATCAGCCCAGATGTTGTTTTAGGTTTTGATCTGTGGGTTATCTGTGCCAAGACTTTTATCAGCCCAGAGGTTGTTTCAGGGCTCGAAAAAATTTGATGGCTATAGTGGCAAACGTAATGACAAGCTTACCAAGTTTTACGGTCACTCCTGCACTCCTTATTCCATCCGCGGTATTCTTGGTATTCTCATACATCGCTCTACAGACATATGCTTTGCTGCACACTGAGTCATGACAACTGTAGAGATATTAAATGGGGTCTTAAAAAGAGATTTCTTATGAGTGTCTTGCAATTGTTGTTCATTTAGAAATTAGAATACTTCATATATACTTTATATAACTAGTCTCAATTAGTTCAATTTAACTGTGTACTTACTCGTAGGTACTGAGTATATAATCAGCAGACGTGTAGTTCACTCTCAACGTTGACTTCTTGCCTCCATTAGCACCATGCACAAGACCAGTAGATTGAGTGGTGATGTCAGTATTACCAGTGTACCATTTGATGTATTGTATTAATGGTTCTCGTACACTACACACCAGATCTACATAGCTATTGGATGATGCTGTGAGGCTTTGATTGATCAGACCTGACACTATTACTTGCCTGGTAACTGGAAAAAGAGACACAAAATGATGTTTATAAGATGTAAAGAAAGAAAATCTATGAATATGATGTACTAACCATAGTCACATCCATACAGTTCTATTCTCATACATATAGCAGTATTTCATGTCTGTACTTACCATAGTCACATCCATACAGTTCTATTCTCATACATATAGCAGTATTCCATGTCTGTACTTACCATAGTCACATCCATACAGTTCTATTCTCATACATACAGCAGTATTCCATGTCTGTACTTACCATAGTCACATACATACAGTTCTAGTCTCATACATATAGCAGTATTCCATGTCTGTGGTGTAACTCGAACATGCCTGGCTGTCAGTGGATGACTCAGCCATTGTACTCTTACATTTTCCTTGTCACTATTTCCTTCGAGTATCTGATGAAATAACAAGTCTTTACTCAACTGTCAAGTAACTAGCTTGAAATTAAGACATAATTTGTGCTGGACTGAAACCTTGATTGATAGAAGCAATTCAATAAAATATTTCACATAAGTTTCTACCTTATCACTGTTGCTACCAGCTTTGTAGGTGCTCCACAGATTGCCATCCGTACTGTAACTGATAGTGTAGGTCCTCACCCACTTATCCATGGTGTGGACACCCTGTGTTGCTATACCTGTCACTGTCATCACTTGTCCCAGGTTAATCTGTATGTACTGAGTGTTAGATGATGTGCTACTACACCATGCGCTGCTGCCATAGAGACGACCATGTGATGCAGTATGGTCACTGTCAAGGTTAGAAGATGACGTCATTTGACTGTCTTGAATGATACCAGGTGCCTCAAGTCCAACAAGAGAACTGCAAGCTTTAAACAAATGTTTCAAAAAAATGAATGAAACAATAACTTAGTAATTATATAAAATTCGTTTAACATAACGTTAGCACCAATAGATAGAGCTAACTGATTCCTCCAGAGGCAACGAGCAATTTAGCTCGAAATGAACATGCACAACTTGTTAGCGATACCCCGTGGGGAAACAGTTACTGCGCCTCACTGCTGGTCTGATCGGGGTAGTGTACTGTCTATGTTTTCATAATTCACGCAAAACTTTTAGCAAAACTTTTAGGCCATACTTCGTTGCCTTTTTAGTATTGATAGTAACTCGTTACTTAGAAGCTTAAGTATCTTGATACTATCAATATCGAATCCTCAGTTATAGTTAGCTTTCGATTCTGTTATTCTGTTAACTGTTATTCCCATGAATATTATAAGGATAAAATTATAAGCTTGTTACTCTTTGGCTCGTGAATATACCATCATATATTATAGTACTGTACCGTCCGTCACTCTGCCTATACAAATCTAGCGTCGCGCTTAAAACCATCCACGAAGTCCTCAAGTATTAACTACTGCTCTTTTTATTTTACATTAAGATTTCTTATACAATAAAAACCCGCGTATAAGAACCTAGTTTTTTTTCAAGTTAGCCTAAACAGGTTCTTATATAAATGGTAATTAGTGTTAAATTAGGCTAATTGGATTCTTAATAAAGTTCTTAACTTTTGTTCAAGAAATAAAGTAGTATTTTTGAATACTGTAGTCTGGTCTTTAATGTCCAATTAATGTCCAATTACAGTAGTATTGGAGGCTTAGGCCTAGGGCAAACGTCGAACTTTCCATGCACCGAACTCATTAAAAACAATGGATATCAGGTGATAATGAGGCAGCATTCTTTGATGTAATTAAGTTCGGTGCATGGAAAGTTCGTCGTTTGCCCTAGGCCTTAGGTAATCAAAGGTTCATCTCAGTTTCATCAAGCTGGATTTTTTTATTCAATGAGGATATGTTCTTTACAGTAACCATGTACAGTTATAGTGTTTATAGCATTATTGTGTACAGACTGTGTTATAAATATATTTTTGAAAAGATTGATTCTATTTTTTTTTTCTTTTTTAAAAATAAGAACCTGTTTTAGGATTTTAGCCTAAAATGGTTCTTATGTGAAGKGAGCTTAAAAATGAAATTTTAGCCTAACAGGTTCTTAAATTTTAGGTTCTTATACGCGGGTTTTTACTGTATAGAGCTGGTGATGTAATCCAATTTTCACGTCAGCATATCTATTTAATCCCTTATTCTTTATTCCCTTATACTGAAGTCATGCTTAACCGCGTAACAGTACATACATATGTGAAGTTATCACCTTATAATTTTCACTCGTGTTACGCCACAAAATGTAATTACTCTCACAAAATGTAATAACAACGCAAAATGTAATAACTTTTGACGCAAAATGTAATAACTTTTGACGCAAAATGTAATAACTTCAATAGCGCATTTTAAAATCAATGTTTACTGAATGGACGTAAACGACACAGTAGAACCGAACAGAACAGAATAGAGAATCGTCTGGGGAAAAAAACTGGTTAGACTACATTCAAATTACGAGATATTAAACGAATGCCCGCGAATTTTTGCTAAGATTAAATGCTAATTTTTATATATTTTTTTATTGCTAGTTGATGAACATTCTGACTAATTAATTCATGTTATTTTGCTACGTTTATTACCATAATGTGGTAAATTTTTTTAAGTGTTATTTACTCAATAAAATGATTAAATAGTTGACAATTTTGCATAATAAACTAGCCCTTATCCATGAGACATAGGCCTTTTCTGAGATACACCGGAAGTGTGCGAACGCAAAGCATTATGGTCTAGATTCGGTACAAATACGATCAACATACCTTCTTGAAGAGAACGTATAGGGAAAACACGAATGAAAATATGCCTCGCTGTTTGTTTGTACCGAATCTAGACCATAATGCTTTGCGTTCGTACATTTCCGATTTATCTCAGAAAAGGCCTATGTCGGGATTCAATAGCATAGTTTTAACATACTCAATTATTAAAATAATTGAAGTATGTTGATCCTGAGTTGGCTTGATATTGGTTATATTTATAAAGAGTTGCTGATTTTTCCCTCAAATATACTACTGTTGGAGTGAGTGGACTTGCTTTGTAAAAATCCACACGTTGAAATCGCGTATTCAACATGAATATTTATCTTAACGGTTCATGCGAAATTCAAGTTAAAGTCACCTGGTATGGTTCATATACCGAGCAAATATTGATTTTCTGCATATTTAAACGACGCCGCATTGAAGATATGTACGGGCTCAATGCTAAAAAGTTTTGAGTTTCGTCATGCAGGCCTGGTTACAAAACAAACACCTAGATGGGTTTCAAGACGTACACCTATGTTGTAGGACTAGGAACAGTTTTTGGCACGACAAGAGATTTCAGATTTCATTTCCCAGATTAGAAAATTAGTGAAAGCACTCTATATATTAGTCAAAAGTCATCAAAATTAATGTAATTAGGTACAAAAAATAAAATATAGTTGACGTAATTTGAGTGCACGCTTAACCTCTCAAATTCAAATAATTCGGGAGAAATTACATTACTCTCTTAGAGTAGGAAAAAACTAACCTGATGAGATCCCATAAACCTCAGCTCTCATTGTTGGATGGCTTCTGTAGTCTATAGGGTAGAATCGTATAAATTTTGCCCTAACTGGATTTTTGAGTTTGTTTGTTACAACTGTAGAACGATCTGTGTTTCCAGTAAATTCCTGCAAGTAATAAACGAACTCCCTTTTAATGCATTTTTAATAATTGTTTTAGTATTTTTAACACAAATATTACTTCATATTCTCTTGATTCTCCTACAGGTGAACTTATGGTACATATGCACACGCTTGTTTGTTAATGGTGCCGCTTGCAGAGATAAATAAAATTTGGAGGGAAAAAAAACGTTTTCTGCATTATTTATTTAATTTACTCGTGTTAAAAAATATATACTAAAACAATTATTCACACTAGGCTCAGTGAATATCGGGGAATATTTACCTCGCCGTTCGAACACTCGCGTCTGGGCAAATGTTTCCCTAATATTTACTTCGCCTTCGGCGAAAAATTGTAAATTAATACGTTAATTCTTTTCCACATCAATCTGCCTAAGGGCATCCTTATCTTGTACATTGTTACGCATTTACCTTGTCCCCATTATTTTCCTGGTAATGATTCCAATTCACATTATCCAAGGACACTTGTATCTTATATTTTCTTACAAACTCGTCTGTCAGATCAGCCCCAGCACCTTGTGTAGCTACTGCACACACAAACACCACAGAACCGAGGTCTATCTGTAACCATGCACCAGACGTTGTTCGTGGTCCCCAGGCTTTACTGGATGTTGATAGTCTTGCAAAGTGTGGCTTATAACGGAGATCATAATATGAACTGGCAGAAAACCTGTGATCTGGTATGATACTAGAGTATGATAAACCAACGAACATGGATGTGCAGCCTGTGAAAGAAAACGTCCAACATTAAATAAGGTATCCTTACTTTATTATGTGCTATAGACATCAAATAACAGATACTGATACAGTAAATTTTACTGTAGGGAACATAAACAGATGTACCACTCGAATCAAAAATCAGCATTGTCATTCTTCATAAAGTAGTTCTATGTAAAAGTACGACTACTTCATATTGATTTACTGTATCATCTTAAAAACTCGTCTTGGAATTGATCAGTACTGGTCAGGGCCTTGTGTGGCTGGCTACAAAACACACCAACACCAAAGAACCAAGGTCCATCCAAGGTCAGCCATTCCCCCGACCAAGTTTCGTAAACCACTACCTTTGATCTACCTTTGGCTAGTAAAATGTGTTTTACCTCCTCTCAGCTTAAACCGATTTTCAATTTATGTAAAGATTTTAGCAGCTTTTCCTCAAAACAGCATATATTACTAGTATTACTAGTAATAGTTCATGACGTGAGTTTCATTGAGAAAAAAAGTTGCGCACTTGATTTTTTTTTTTTTTTTTTTTTTTTTTTTTTTTTTGGCGTAGCGAGGGTCAGATCTATGTGTGAATACCACTCAATTCTAAATATCATCTGACCGCTTTCAAAAAATAGTTAAACCATTATCTTATACCGAATGAAGTCTCAAACATCTCTCTATCAATTTATAAACATATAGTTTTCATACCTTTTTCCTATTCTGTATGCGTTGGTTGTTTTTGGACCGGTTTGATTCAACTGAAAATTTGCATACTTTTGAGATCGCCGCTAGGCCAACTGTTTTTCCCGGATTTCTCAGACTTTTAGCGGTTTTTCGAAAAACTAACTACACCACGTTTATTTACTCGGTAATACCTTCAAGCAAACCAAAAATGAGCAAAATCGAAATTTTGACCGTGACCGGCCGATGCTCGATATTAGTGGACCTTCGCTCTTAAATCTTGTTTCACCACCGCGCGAGGGTGTTGGAAATTTTCTCACCAGAATTCAAACCACTGGCTTATCTAAATGTCCGCCAAAACGCCATATTTAAAGGCTACAAAGGTCAGGTGACGGTTGTACGAATGAATAGCGCTATCTATGATATCGTGTCTATTCTAATCAACATAATATATGCAATATACACTCGACCTAGTTTCCCACATACGGGATATTGTGTTGTGTTGATTCTGAGAAATTAAAATAGCGGATACTTTAGAGTAACTTCTTACAGTAGATAAATTACAGGTCACAACACTATCCGACGAATAAATCCTGCAGTGGATAAATTTATTGGATAACAGCCGTCGACTTATCCACTGGATAAGGATTTATCCGCCGGCTATCCAGGCTTCGTACAACCGGACCCAGCTCTAGTATAGACTTGCCCCAGTCGATCTCTTTTAAAAATAAACAAATAAAAATAAATGAATTTAACAATGGCATTTCCACACAATGGCTCTTCATCCACTGAATTCATTGGAATTCAAATGTTTAAAATGTTCATATTGATTTTATGAGGAAATTCCGAAAAACAAACATTTGTATGGGGCTCCGTCCAAAATTTCAAAAAAAAAAACAAACATAAAGGCACCTTATAGTCGATGGTCGTCACGAAACTTTCTGAAATATCTAAAAATAATACGAATGTCATCGTTCTTGTCTCTCTTACTGGATAACAGCATTGACTTATGTACTGGATAAGGAATTATCCGTCGGATAGCGCTATTCA